TTTCCAGCAATATCTCAAGTAATTTTAATTTCAGCACACGGGAGTTCTTTCTAAGCTTTCTTTGATTTTAATTATTTCTCTATTTTATTGATTACTATAGTTTAATGTTTAGAATGTCAAAATATGTTCTTTTTTATTAGCTCCGCTGTCGACTTTGTCGAGCGAAGCTTATCATATGAGTGATTGTCCTCCGTCGTCCGTGTCAATGTTTTACTTTTTCGACTTCTTCTTGAAAACTACAAGCCTGAATGCTTTGATACTTGGTGTATATGTACCTTGGGTAGACCTCTCTCAGATTTATTCATTTTGTAATGATATCTTCAATTCTCTAATTTTGGTGAATATTTTTGTCATTTTTGGTAAAAAGTGATATTTTCAACTTCTTGTTAAAAACCGCAAGTCCAATTGCTTTGATATTACATATATAGGTACTACATGTGGACTTCTCTCAAATTTGTTCATTCCATGATATCTTCAATTCTCCAATTGTGATGAATATTTTTGTCATTTTTGGTAAAAAGTGATATTTTCGACTTCTTGTTAACAACCACAAGTCCAATTGCTTTAATATTACATATATAGGTACTACCAGTACATGTGGACCTCTCTCAGATTTGTTCATTTCATGATGATATCTTTAATTTTCTAATTTTGATGAATATTTTGTCATTTTTAGTAAAAAGTGATATTTTTGAATTCTTGTCCCATTGCATTGATACTGTGCATATTGTTCATTTTCTAATGATATCTTCTGTTCTTTAATTGAAATGTGCATTGCTAACAGCAGAGCTATCTCAGCCGAGAGGCTGCTTGTTTTCATTTTGAAAGTTTTTTTTGTTTTACTCAGACGATTGATGAAATAAAATGGTGTAGTGACGCGTCTAGTAACCTGCCAAATAACAAGACAATTCAGGCGTCAAATTGAATTTTGTCCAGTGCCATGGACCTGCGACAGTGTACAAACGTGACCAGTTACACCAGAACAGACATATTTCGCATCTAACTCAACCCCATGTAACAAACTTTATACTATGTGTTCATTATGGTCCATTCTTCCTCAACGAACAAGTACATAAGTGACAATATAGTCAAAGACGAGAAAACTGTACAAGAAATTTGCCTTATTTACACGTATCGGCAATGCAAGCTGCCCAGCGAGTTCGCCTGCTGACGTCACAAGGGGAATTTCTGTATGCAAATGAGAAGCTAGAGAGGAGCCTCGTTTTAAAATACAGAAAAATAAAGTTGCCGTAGACTATGTTTAAAACACATTTTTTCACTTAAAAAAAATTAATTTATGCTTAGAAACATAAAAATAAATAATATTTATGTATCAATGGATAATTTTAGGCGTGAAAATAGCAGCCATTTCACAGGCACTTTAAGGTGTATTTTTAGAGCTTTATTTTATGTGACATTAATTCACATGCCAAGTCATTCAAATTCATCATGAATGTACAATTTTGTCTCTTAAGAGTACGTCTAACAAACAAGAGAAGATGTTTATTTGTAACAAAGCAGCTCAGTTGTTGTCTATGGTATTTGTTATTGAATATCCCCATAAATGGATGACCTTCTTCACTGATCTACATCGTTTGTTGAGCTATGGTGTCAAAGCTGTTGACTTGTACCTTCGAATACTGATGGCAATAGACAGTGAAGTTGTTGACAGAGAAATTGTACATACAACTGAGGTAAGTATACAACTGATATTTATCAAACCATTAATTTGTTAGTTAAAATTTTCAATCGTGTATTTATTGGTATGTGTTTTTGTGCATAGGATGCCCAGAGAAATACGCTAATCAAAGACGCTATGAGAGAACAATGTATACCAGAAATGGTAGAGATGTGGTATATGATATTGGTAAGAACTTTTAAGATTTATTTATTATATCCACTGCAAAATGTAATGCGTTTTTATGATTATAATGTGTTTCTTGCAATAACTTGATGGTTTTTATTTTACAGAGAACTTATGAAAACTCATCTTCTGAAGTCACATGTCTGTGTCTCGAGGTGATTGGTGCCTATGTATCCTGGATTGATATCAGTCTTATCGCCAATGAACGCTTCATAACATTGTTATTACACCATTTGTCTGTGGATGTACTTAGAGAAAGTGCTTGTGATTGCCTTCATGAAATCATCAGTAAAGGAATGAATCCTATGGCTAAAACTCAACTGGTGGAGTCATTAGTAAGTGTCCTTGAGAGGGCCCATATTCTTCCGCCTGCACAGGTAAGTACTCCTGTTAAATACAGTCTGTGATAAAACTAGCACTCAACATATAGATAAAACCTCAATTACATGATATAAGGAGATGAATAGACTTTATTTTGGTAAAAGTATATTAGAGATAGTCATGTAATTCATGTCTTGTCAATCATGTTTGATCTTCATATATACATGATACATCTTGTCACATGTGTGCTTTTATTTGTTTGAACATCAAATGGCAGGCATTGTAATGTTAAAAATTCATCATGTCTGTCTGCCATTTTGCCATCATGCTAGGTTCAATGTATACATACAAGAACCATTATTTTTTATGCATATGATTTTCTAAGCCATGTTTCTCATATACTGTGTATGTTCTCAAATAGGCGTCACTCTAATTTAAGCGTCAGACAGACGTGAATGTTATAAAATTGTTCCAAGGACAGTCTCTCTATAGAAATGAACACCATCAAAATGTTCCATTTAGGCGTCGCCCAGACCAGGCTTCGACTTACTGTAGGACGGGAAATTATTGCGCAATGAAATGTATGTGTCATGGCAAATTGCGTCTAATTTTTATTATTCGCATTCTTCTTGCAGACAAATTCAAATTTGACCTTTCATTTATACGTGATTGTCAATAAACTTTAAACAGAATCTTAACAAATACAAACAAAGAGCATTTATTATTCAATGTTATGTTACTAAATCACACATTAAAAACAAGTGTTACACTTCTACTATAGCCAACACGCATCTGAGGACTATCGTTATTGTTATTGCAGTTCACACTCATCGTGGCAGCCATTTTGCCAAGTAAAAAAATACTCTTATCACTCCGTACGTGACATCAACATGCCAGAAGTTGGGGTTTTCCCGAAGATCAAAAAGCTCTTGTAATATTTGATGTATCGGAACACATCGATGTGAAGATTTTTTGTACCAAAAACTGCACGACAACAACATCGCTACTGTGTTTGTTCTGGCATGTTGTAACGATCGGCTGCAACCCCATTGATCTCGCCGTCAACATAATTAGCTAATTATTGCTTTAATTTATTTATAACTTAGTGGTGTTTGAACTTTCTGAACAAATATTTGACTTGGGTGAGTAGCCTAATTTGCATATTGCGATAACATATTCTGCCGCATAAATACTGGTAATATTTCATTGGAAGGTCTGAAAATGTGCGAGTTTTAGTATATAATGATTTAATATGTAATGATAGATGTTATTTGAGCAATCTGATTAAAATAAGATCCTAGTTTTAGTTTGTTTTTTTGTATATTTAGTTTATTTTACTTTGATCTAGTATTTATTTTTTAAAGTTTTGGTAATTGCGAAAGCCAACAAGGATCTGATCCAATGCCTATGAAATCCTGTTCAAATCTTGCGTAAGTAACAGCCAATCACATCCCTCCTTATATAGGCTGTCGGTTGCTTACTTTTCAGTGTAGCGATACTCTAGGGGCAATTTTTCTGTACATTATATTTTGCCCACTTGAATAAACCATTGAAAAAAAATTAATAGTATATTTTTTATTTACAAACGATATTCCACAGCATTATATAATTTGTGTCATTACATTGAATATTTTTTTCACTTCGAACAAATGTGTACGCCAGCCAAGTTTTGTTTTTTTCAGTCATCGCTTCAATCAAACACTGAGCATAATTATCTAGAATGGAAGCAAAATTAAGTAAATCGTAATGAAATTATCACACTGTAAACTATAGTGAACAATACAAACTGATTTTAAATTGTACAGCGGTCACCTGCCCACGGCATCGACGCAGAATATTGGAGCAAAAAATATTTCCTAATCAATTGCGATGTGTTCCAAATAAAAAAATATTTTATTCAAGTCCAAATCAGTTCAATTACTTTAATAAAGAGTTATTGGATAATGTACAAAATGTTGATACATTTTGATGAATAGCCTCGGCCCGATCGTCAACAAAACATCGTACGTCTTCAGGGCAAGTGACTGGAAAAGGACCGGTGTTCGTCGAACCTATGGGGAAAAAATCATCAGTCCCGGAATAACTATGCAAAATAACAAATCTCAAGAACTGTATGTTGGTTTTTAATGAAGCTTGGTGTGTAGATGCTCTGGGCTAATGCGCAGATTAGATTAGATTTCGGTTGAAATCCATGCATATTAATTACCTGATTTGCATGATAATTGGCTAATTTTTACCTGTTCTTTGACTTTTCCACTGATATCTAAAAAGCCATTCATTAAATTTTGATGAAACTTTGTACATAGATGCTCTGGACTAATGTACAGATGTGATTAGTTTTGGGTAAAAATCCATGCATATAATTAACCTAATTTGCATAATGATTAGTCAATTTTCGGCTTTTCCACTGATATCTCAGGTACTAATAATCACAATTCACTGCAACTTGCATAGATACATAGGACGACGAACTGACAGGTATGTGAAATATTATAACCTAGTTTGCATAATTAATCAATTTTCAGCTTTTGATATTTCAAGTACTATCTATTACTTCCTTACTTTTCAATGAAACTTGACAAAGACTTGATTAATTTTAAGTAAAATGTGTGCATATTAATCAATGAATTTGCATAATTAATTTTTGGCTTTTACACTGATATCACATGTACTAATTTTTCGATTTCAATGAAACTTTATAGTACATGCATATTGATTATCTATTATTAGCCCATTTCTAATATCTAAAAAAATCAGATTTAAATTGAATTCATCGCAGAGGTGCTCTGGAATAAATTACACTAAAAACCATGGATGAAAAATCAAATTTTCTGTATGTATTATAAATTTTGACAATGTGATTTTTTTTTCATGTTATGCATCTCAGTTAGCAGACAAAAATTAGTTGCCAAGCTTCTCGTTTGAAAGCAAATCTTAAATTTTGAATTAATTTTAATGTGTCTCCAATACTTTCAGCACACAGGAGTTCTAAGATTTCTTTGATTTCAGTTTGACGAAAAGGCAGGACCCTTTCTGATTTTCATAACTGCAAGTTCAATTCCACTTTGTGCGTTGTATTCATCAATAGACAAAATCCAAGGCAGAATCCTGTACAACTTTCTGCCAATCTTGATTCGCAAATGTGCTGGTTACATGTACAGTGTTCTTCTCAGGCCTTTCAAGCACCGTGGGCCCACGTCCCTTAGACAAATAGCTGCGTCCTTTCGTTTCGCCAGCGATTCTTGTAATCCTGTCCACGTTGCTTGAGTTGTTGTATTGTGTACAAGTGACAGCCTCATCTTGCACATCTTTAAAACAATAACATGTATTGATCGAAAGGTAATCCTGCCTTTGTTAGCCTTACAAAAACAGTGAAAAAACGGAAGTCTACAAGAAGTCTTTTGAGGGAGCGGCGCCTGCAAAGTAATAATTTGCCCCATTGCGTTGCGAAGATCTATCCCGATTTGCTGCACTGCGGTTAATTGAGGTTTTTACTACTCCATCGCTGGGAAAAAAACGTAAATAAATTGAAGCAAAAGTTATTCAACTGCAGATGAGATGACCAAAGAAAAAACGAACCCATATCTCTAGAAAATACCTCATTTATAGAGTGTCTCGTTACCGTGGAACGCCACTGAATCGCATAACACATGTTGTGACATCGTGACCGATGCATGGTGGGTTACACAAGGGATTCTGTTCGAGGTAACAAAGATGGCGACGCAGAGTGCATTTTTTCCCGCGATATTTAAAAACAACATCTCGTTGGCGATTTTGATGTAATTTCTAAAATAATCAATGAATCTTTTTAATTAACAAAACATTCTAAATATGTGTATTTTTAAACCAAAAAGTCAGGGACCGATGATCGCAACAGCAGCGGTAAATACCCATTGTGATCGTATCGTTGCGCATATGGTATAGATAGATCAATGAAAAGTTGCTGACTTAGGTTTTGAAATGCCGTTATAGAAAAAAAAAAAATGTCATTATTGGTTTATTAGTCCCCGTTCAGACAAGGACTTATAATTCGGTCTCCGTCCGTTCGTCCGTGCATTCGTGTGTCCGTCCAGAGTCATATCTCAGAATCCCTTGGACCGATTCCGTTCATTCTTTGCATGTTCCTAGTACTTTATGCGGGACATATGCACATGCAGTGGTTTAGCGATTCGATTCAAAATGGCCGACTGGCAGCCATCTTGTTTTTTGAAAATGTTGTATTTTGGACATGCTTTGTTAGTTTTCATTCAAACTTGGTACATAGATTATACATGTTAGGATACATGTCCATGATGATTCATTTCACAATTGAATCAAAGATGGCCGACTGGCAGCCATCTTGTTTTTTTGAAAATGTCGTATTTTGACATGCTTTGTCAGTTTTCATTCAAATTTAGTATATAGATCATACATGTTAGGATACATGTCCCCGATCGTCCGTGAGTTCCTGAATCTGTCCGTCCGACCGTTTGTGTGTCAGTCTGTCCGTGCGTCAGCTTATCCAACGTCATATTTCAGAATCCTGTGTTGACCGATTCCGTTCATTCTTCGCATGTGTCTAGTACCTTATGTGGGACATGTGCACATGCAGTGGTTTAGCGATTTGATTCAAAATGGCCGACTGGCAGCCATCTTGTTTTTTGAAAATATTGTATTTTGGATATGCTTTGTCAGTTTTCATTCAAACTTGGTACATAGATTATACATGTTAGGATACATGTCCATGACGATTTATTTCGCAATTGGATCAAAGATGGTCGACTGTCAGGCATCTTGTTTTTTTTGTTTTTTTTATGCGGTATCTTGGATGTGCTCTGTACGTGCATACATGTACTTTATACATGTTAGGATGCATGTCCATGACAATTTGTTTCAAAGTCTGGTCAAGGATGGCCAATTGACAGCCATCTGACTTTTTGGCCTTACTGCTATATTTCCACAATTTATGTACCATTTTCATTCGTATTAGGCACATACATCATACATATCAGTGTGTTTCATAATCAGATCAAAGATGGCCGAATAAGGACTGTTTTTATTTTTGGCCATATTACTACTACACGGAACACATGTTTTGATGTAAATAAACAATCTGTTGTATACGCCACTTGGTACTCAAGTTTCAAGGACACGCTTGCGAAAATCCTCCGCTTTAATATGACGAGCACAAAGAGAACTTTCAAAAATTTAACGGGGACTGTGTCATTTTCAATGACTTGTTAATTTCTAAGTCATATTTTGATAACCCGAAATCTGGCATACTTTACAAATTTAAAAAATATGAACTGACAGTGACATGGGCACTAAAACTGACTGTACTTGTTGTACACAAAATAACGATGAACCAGTTACCTCCATGGACAACAATATATTCATAACAATACATTTTTTGCTGTTCTATTTCAAACTGAATGTTTTCAAATTTGATGTGCAAGTACCTTGGGAAGTCCTCCCTCAGATTTGTTCATTTTGTGAAGATATCTTTGATTCTCTAATTTTGGTGAATATTTTTGTCATTTTTGGTAAAAAGTGATTTTTTCGACTTCTTGTTAAAATTGCAAGTCTGATTGCTTTGATATTATACATATAAGTACCTCGGGTAAACCTCCCTCAGATTTGTTCATTTCGTGATGATATCTTCAATTATCTAATTTTTAGTCCTTGTTCGGAGGCAGTCCAAAAACTAGGACTTACGTTATGACCTCTGTGCGTCCGTGCTTCTGTCCGTCCTTGCGTGCATGCGTCCAGACCTGTATCTTAGAAATGCCTGGACCAATCACAATCACACTTCAAACATACATTATATATCATGTTATACATAGGCACGTCAATTTGTTTCACGATCCGATTCAAGAGGGCCGAATGGCGGCCATTTTTGTTCTAAAAATCGGCTGTTTACAGATGGATTTTGTTCAAACTTGGTATATACATTAGACATCATAGGACCTTGATGCACATCATTTTGTTTTTCAGATAAGATTCAAAATGGCCGACTGGCGGTCATTTTGTTTTAATGAATGTGGTTCTCGTGCCATATCTCTGACTTGCTGTGACTGATGTTAAAATATATATATTCATTATAAATGTATTCAAAATGGCTGAATTTGTTTTAATTAATGATAATCCAGAGCAATATCTCTTATTACTCGTTTGACGATTAGATACAAATGTCAATCTTTTAAATGTTAAACAATCATCATAATCATATTCCTGACATGATTATATTCCAGCCTATTACTATAAACGAAACTATATATCTTGAATTCAATAACTAATGGGAACTTGTGATAAATATTTTTGTCATTTTTGGTAAAAAGTGATATTTTTGAATTCTTGTTGAAAACAGCAAATCCCATTACTTTGATACTATACATATTGTTCATTTTCTAATGATATCTTCAGTTCTTTAATTGAAATGTGCATTGCTAACAGCGGAGGTATCTCAGCCAACAGGCTACTTGTAATACTTGCTCTGATCACACAGGAGCTATTTACAGTTTAACTTTGATCTAGGAATGTTGTGTCCCCAAATCAGCAGTAATTTCCTATAAGAATATATAACAGTATGTCAATTTTTGCCATATTTAATTTTGAACTTAAGATAAAGATGCAGGTTCAGGGGCACTTAGGAGTGAAAAAAATTTTTTTTCTTCTTTTTATTATCAAAACAGTCTTGGCTATAGACTATTAACACTATCTAGCCAAGACTGTCTGGGTAAGAAGGGCATCTATACCTTACACAAGGTTTATGCACAAATCCAGTTTCATGATTCTGATGATATATGCAGTTTCATTTTATTTCTGGATTCGCAACAAACATTGTTATAATTGTTTTCTAGGATGAAGACATAGATTTTGTGGCAAAGCTTGCTAAACTCATCAATGGTGTTGGAACTAATTTATTAGTTAGCTGGAACAAGTAAGTGGACAAATATTTCCTCTTAGTTTTCTTCCTCTCTCCCTCTGTATAGTGAATACATCAATCCTCTTAATTTTTTTAGCTCTACTGGCGACTTTGTCAAGCGGAGCTTATCATACGAGTGATTGTCCGTCGGCATTCGTATCAACTTTTTTGACTTCTTCTTGAAAACAACAAGCCTGAATGCTTTGATACTTGGTGTATATGTACCTTGGGGTAGACCTCTCTTAGATTTGTTTATTTTATGATGTTTCCTTCAATTCTCTAATTTTGGTGATATTTTTGTTATTTTTGGTTAAAAGTGATATTTACGACTTCTTCAAAAAACTACAAGTCAGATTGCTTTGATATTGTTTATATAGGTACTACATGTGGTCCTCTCTCAGATCTGTTCATTTCATTTCATGATGATATCTTGAATTTTCTAATTTTTATGAATATTTTTGTAATTTTTGTTAAAAAGTGATATTTTCAACTCCTTGTTGAAAACCACAAGTCTTATTGCTTTTATGTCATACTTATAGGTACCTCAGATAGACCTCTCTTAGATTTGTTAATTTTCTAATGATATCTTCAATTCACTAATTTTTATGAATATTTTTGTAAATTTTGGTAAATAATGATTTAACTTTTTGCTGAAAACGGCAGGTCTGATTACTTTGATACTATACATATAGTTCATTTTCTAATAATATTTTCTGTTCTTTAATTGAAATGTGCATTGCTAACAGCTGACAGGCTGCTTGTTAAAAATACTGACTGGAGCCAGAATGATATGCAATTTCCCTCACAACCACATACGAACATACAAACAGAGGTGGGCAGCCAGTTTCAAACTTGCAGAAGACATGCATGTTATAAAAACTGAATAGAATAATAATAATGATGATAAATGATTTATTTCACCGGAAATGAAATTATTTCAACTTAAAGAACACAAATGGTGATGACTATGAGTAGAACTAGTCCATGGTCCTATGTAAATCTGATTTAACAAAATTAAATTGAAAATGTCTTTTTACAACAACATCACTATTTAAATAGCAGTGAATGTTTTACAGATGCAAATTTCAAATATGCTGAAAGAGTGATGGGTTAACTTTGGTAGAGCCATTTTGACCGTCAGGTCTCTTGTTTTCAAAGATGTGGTGTTAATACATCACCTCCATGAATAGCCATCACAGACTTGTATATACAGTCAGCAGGCAATCTGCCACCATGCCAGGGTGTAGCTATTTTAATAACACATTCTCACATTCATATTATTGTTGTCTTTCCAGATTACTTAAATCAGGAAATGAGGTAGATGCTGAGAAAACATTCCAAGCTATTGACAATAAAGTGTCGCTAATGTTGCGTTTTCTTGGTGATGAAGATGATGATATTTCACTGGCAGTCACTGAGTTTGCTCATGATTATGTCACAACCCTGAAACAAGTGAGTTGCATGCAATTTGTATGGTTGTG